AGAAAGAAAGAAAGAAAGAAAGAAAGAAAGAAAGAAAGAAAGAAAGAGAAAGAGGAAGGGAGAGAAAGAGAGATAAAACTGTGCTATTATTTTTTATTGTTCCATTATTTATCATGTGTTTAATATTTTACACTGCCCCACCTAGAGTGATTTTAGTGCTTTTCTTTTGCCCAGGGCTACATTTACATGCATTCAATGTCTAGTCCATAAATATGCATGTGTTTATTTTGTACAACAGGTTGCATAAGTCCAGCTTAATTTGCTATTCCTGGTATGTGATATTTTGTTCACATACAGCGAAAGAAGCACTCTTGTGATCTTTGACTTTTAGGCTTGCTTTCAAACATCAGCCATAATAATTACTGTTTTGAACAATATGCAGGTAGTATTACACGAATGGCTATTTTATATGTGAAATTATGAGATAAATTTGAGTAGAGGTCCTGGAAAAGTGTCAGAATAACAGAATGACACTTAGAGGGAACTTGAGGGACCTATACCATTTCAGAGAAACGGCTGTCCAGTCTTTTCTTAAAAACCTTCAGTGTTGGAGCACCCAGAACTTCTGGTGGCAAGCAGCTCCACTGGTTAATTGTTCTCACTGTCAGAAAGTTTCTCCTTAGTTTTAGGTGGCTTCTCTCTTTGTTCAGTTTCCATCCATTGCTTCTTGTTTGCATTCTGCTTCTTTGAAAAATATATTGCCCCCCCACCTTAAAAGCCTGTTGTCTATCATATTTTTGGACAAAGCATGTGAGCCATTCCCTCCTTTCAGTGATCCATGAAAGTACATCTGTAGTATGTAGGTAGTAAAGTCAAAAAAAGGTGAACAACCTTTTTACAGAACTATAGATACGTTGAGGCTGGGTGTGACAAGGAATGGCTGGGAGGGGAGGGGCCAGGTGAGGCACTCCTTGACGTGAGTGACATTGAGTTGACCATGCCCACCCAATCACATGACCACCAAGCACGCCCACCCAGTCACATGACCACAAGCCACGCCCACCAAATAAGCCACGCCCACAACCGGTAATAAAAAAAATTGAATCCCACCACTGGCCTGAATGTAACAAAGAGGTGGCTGAACTCCAAATGGGAAGACTTTATCCATGTCAAGATAACCAAAACAATTATTTCTGAAGACTTTTTAGTAGCTAGTAGGCATAGAAAAGTTTCTGTTTTCATAAAATCCCAATTTATGCAGCAATGTGTAATTATTACTTGAGTGAACTTCCTGAGGAACAACCCTTTCCTAGTTTTCTTAATGACAGCAGATAGCTTTACCTTCTGAATCTTATAAGTTATTTGATTGCCTGCCTTCTCTCCCCTTCAGCCTTCAATAATTATCTTGATTGTGATAACGCAAGAATTCAAAAGGGCTGATCATTTTTTTTAAAGTGGATAATAAATGTGGCACCATATCCATTCTTCTTTATCCAGTGTATATGGAAGGAAAATTAAAAGAATCACCCTCCAAAAAAACCCACACCATTTAGGAGAAAAGAAAGGTAGCTCTTTATTAGTATGACTTTAACTCCTTCACCACTCCCAATAAAAAAGGTAGGAAAATGCAGCACATTTTTACATCAAAGCCAGAGCGTGTGGTTACTTTCTAGACACTTCTGACCAAGGTTTACTCTGCTGTCAGTCAAATCGACAGCGAAGTTCTCCTTGGTCTGAACTGGGACAAGAAGAGTATTAAGGATGTTTAAAGTAAGTAGGGAGGAACTCATGAATTTATAGATTTGTATCATCACTGCTAGATGTTGTGGCCATTTTGGGATGCATAGGAAAAACAACCCCTTTTCCCAAACCCATATTTTCTTCTCTGTTGCAAGGAAAGGAAGGGACATTTCTTTTATTCAGTGATGATTCTTTCTTTGCTTATTTCAATTTCTGATGCTTCTCCTGGATGTGCTTGTCATACTGTATGTCGATTTCAGGCTGCCCGAGCCAGCTCCAGAGGTAAAACCAATACCTCCACTGCCCATTCCACTTCCCAGACCAAAGCCAAGACCACTTCCGCTGCTGTATGTACCACCACCACCACCGGAGCTGACCAGAGCTGCAGTATACAAAAAAAAGCATGTCATGTTTAACAGAAACAGTGAGGCACCTTGGAATATTCTTACAAATATTCTGCCAACAACAGCAAGGCATTGGTTCTTAAAGGGAGCGGACACATTAACTATGTCTCAGCAGAGGTCACTTAATTTAGAATTTCATGTGTATGAAAGGGCATTTTGACCCAGTTACTCTTGCTCTCCCATTCAGTTGGCTTCCCTTGTCCTCAGAGATCTCATATAGAGTGGGCTGACTTGCAACATGGCAGTGGGTTGAAACTACATGGATTCCGGGATCTCCGATTGACCATCCTGTCTGACTGACCATCAGCCAGGATAAGCCAACCAAAGAAACCCTTTCTTTTTTATTGAAACTGATTGTGCACCATTAGTTTCAAAACCAAAAATAACCAAATAGATATTTCCTCAGGTTATAAAGATGGCTGCTGCCAATATTCATTCAGAATACACATTCCTGTAACTGATTTTCACTATTCTATGTCCTCTCTTCTGAAATAAGAGGGAGCAGTTCTTGGCTTTCTTCGCATTGGTTTAAATATTTTCAAATGGCTACTATATCCCATTCCCAGCTGTCTCTTCTTAAGGTTTGGTTCCTTCAATATATCTTCATACAACTTAGTTTTCATCACCTGATTGTGATCATTGACCTTTACTAAATCCTTATTAAAGTGTAGTGCCCAGGACAGTATTCAAAGTTGATCCGACCAATGTAGAATTACTATTTGCCCTGATTTGGAAGTTATACTACTGTTGATATGACTAAAATGCACAATTGGCTTCTTTGCAGTGACATTGCACTGCTGTGTCAGATTCCTTTTCTGATCATTCTAAATACATTGTACAAGTACATTTTTAATAGTGAGCCAGATTTCTATCATCCTGTCCTGGGCTTTTGACTCTTGTTAAATTTCATTCCGCTGCTTCCATCCCATTTCTACAACCGATCAAGATTGGCTGGCAATGTGAATTAACTGAGAATTAAGCATATTCTTTACGATTATTTTGTTTATGCGACTACTGTTATGAATCCAGGACACTAATAGTAGGACTAGGTTAAAAAAATCCATAAATACATATTCTTCAATCTACCTTTCATAAGAAAGCTTATGGTATGAAAGACAAAATTCAGTCTCTGAATCCTTCCCTGACTGAGAGAAAATATCCCCCAGGAAAATAGAAGACAACATCTTGCATATTATCCTTTACTTCTGTATCCTGAATACACAAAAGCCATAGCTTGTTCTTTCTATCTAAACACTAAAGTGAAGAAACGTATATTTGAGTATGGCCCCCAAGAAATTGCTCCAGGTTATCAGAATGTGATATTTAACATGACAGAAGATGAAATCGTTAAATGCATACCTATTGTAGAATTCTCCACCCTTCTAACCTTCCACAAGAGCCTGAAGACTTGGCTTTGCCAGTTGGCCTTGAGGCCAAATGGGGGATTTCCACATCAGGGGTGGCTGCCGGATTGATGGCAGACTCCATTTTCCCTCCCTCCTTGCTGCATGCTCTCCACCCATCCATTGTTTATCAGATTGATGTTTTCTTGCTGTATTCCTTTCTCATTTTTTATTTTACAGGTAGTGCTCAGCTTACAACGTCACTGAAAAAAACTGACTTTTGATCATTTTTCACACTTATGACCACTGCGGCATCCCCATGGTCACGTGATCAAAATTCAGACAGTTGGCAATTGACTCATACTTATGATGGTTGCAGTGTCCTGGGATCATGTGATCACCTTTTGCGACCTTCTGACAAGCAAAGTCCATGGGGACAGCCAATTCACCTAACAACTCTTCTACTAGTAACTTAACAACTGCAGTGATTCACTTAACAACTGTGGCAAGAAAGGTCCTAAAATGGAGCAAAGCTCACTTCATAAATGTCTTGCTTAGCAACATAGATTTGGGGCTCAATTGTGCTCGTAAATCGAGGACTACCTGTATAGTTCTATTATTTTACTCCTATTCTGTTTACACTATTTTCATTTTCTTCCTTTTTATTACCTCAGTGGGATAGGGGAAAAATAAATTGATAAATAAATAATCTCTATACTTATTTTAATTGTCGAAATGCTTTTCCTAGCTATGTCTCCTACTTTCTGGAATGCAACTATAAGTACAGCTAGTCGTTTAGCAATAGCAATTAGGATCAGCAACCTGGTCATTAAGCAAGGTAGTCACTAAGTGAAAATGACATGCCCATGACTATGCTTATAATTTTTGCTTCACTTCTTGCTACTGTACTTCCTTCACCTGAAATGGGGTTCTTTCTGTTTGAGGACGATTTGGTATCAACTAAATCAGTGAAAATAAATGCAGAAAGACACTGCAAAGCTCATAAATGTGAGGATTGGTCACTAAGGGGATTTTTGAATGTCGAACTTTGTTCACTAAACAAGGCAATCTCTAAGTGAGGAATGCCTGTATATACACTCTTAGCCCTAGGGAAACTTTCGTCTTGGAGAAAATTATAAACTGCTCCAGTAAGATATGATTTCTGTGCTCTATGGTTCCTGGGATTTAATATATACTGACAGGAAGTCAAGAAATAAGAAGCAAACTTACTCATGCTTACAGAACCAGCTCCTTCTCCAGATAACCTATTGTGTGAGAAATAAGCACACAAGCAATGGTTTTTTTAAAAAAAAGAAAACATTCATTTTAACATTATTAATATAAAATATTCAGAGGAGACAACTGACTCTTGCCAGTTTTAATTAATGCATGTTATTGGCCTTAGGAAGAAGATGAGAAATACTGTGTTGGGTAGGATTAATAATCCAGAAGATGATTCTCCCCCAATAACTCCTTTATTGTTGTTAATTGGCAACAACACAGTAAGATAAACTTAAAAGGACAAAGCATAGGTCTCCTTCATGATTCACTTAATCCCAACCATTTCACCTAGGAGGTTCGATTAATGAAAGTTAACACTGGATTAAATATACCTATTGGATACATATACATAGCGGACTTTGGAATTTGGTATTAACTTATTTATGTGTCATCATCATCATCATCATCATCATCTTAGCCACTGTCTACCCACTGCGGGACAAAGGCCTCTTCTGCATGTTTCCAACCTATATGATCCTGAGCTTTCTTTTGCCAATTGGGCCTGAAAACAATCTTGTTTTCAGATGCCTTTTATTAAGTGGGATCCATTCTATGACTATTTATACACACACACACATATAATACATACATATATTTGCATACACACACACACATGTATGCACACACACATATATACACACACACATATATATACATACAATACACATACATATACATATGATTGCAACCTACCCAGAGTTACCCTGTGGTAAGATGATTGGTCAATAAATTTTATAAATAAATAAATAAGCAAACAAACAAAAACATGAATAAATAAATATTTCTTAAAACAACCATTTTTAAAACCTATATGCCTTCTTGGCTTTAGCTGTTTATGTTATAGCAGATGTCTTATTAGAAGAGGCAATCGCTCGCTGCAATGATCAGAATATTACTTCCAGCCACCTACCTGCTCTCCTCCCCTTCCAGCAGCTTTCTGTAAGTAGCAATCTCAATATCCAGAGCCAGCTTGACATTCATCAGCTCGTGATATTCACGTAGATGGTGGGCCATCTCTTGCTTAGCTTTGTTAAGGGCCAGTTCCAGTTCCTCTAGTTTCATCCTGGCATCTTTCACAGCCAGCGTACCGCGTTCCTCTGCTTCAGCAACGGCAGCTTCAAGCTTGGCACGCTGGAGAGATCAACCAAGAGGACAGAATTACTCAGAAGTTCTGTTGTTTTTTTTCATTTCATCCACCTGGGAGGAGGAGAAAACAAAGGGCTCCAAAGCCATAACTGAAGTGAGTATTATATGGGGAAGTCTATTCATCCTTTGTCTTTTCTTTTTCTTGTGCTACTTTTTTTACATGAAATATATCCAGAACCAATCCCTAACTGTGACCAGAAAATAAATGAATAAATCTAATGTTGGCTTCAGTTGCCAAGGCAAGACTGAACCTGTTAGGTCAGTTTACAAGAATCCAGGAATTTGTGGTGAGCAATTTTTATTGCAAAGTTACTAGCCGTAAAGAAAGCACTTCAGCAACTAGAGGGTTTCAAGCCTTCTTTATAGATTCAATATTTAGTCCTGCTTGCACCTCTTCCTTCTGCTTATCCTACATAATGGATTGTTTGGGCCTCACTGTTTTCATCTACCCTATTTTTCTAACCGTGGAAGAATTAGCTCTTATACAGTAGTTGGATTGCATCACAAGAATGAGCAACCTGTGTATTTGATGCCTGAGAAATTGCCAAAAATGTATAAAGACATTTCAAACGTATGTTGGAAATGCAACTGCAAAATGGGTATTTTTATAATTCAGAAAATTCTTAAAATCATCTAAAACTGAAACTAGAAACTCTCCTTTTAGGTTTAATGGATAAAGAACTTGGAATATTTGTTGACAAGAGCAAAGATGGAAAGACACACTAATTCCCGCAATGGAAGAGTAGATGGTAAAGTGTAAAGGGGATGGAGTTAATATCACGGTGAAACTGACTGTTTTAATTAAAGAGAAGAACTTAGCCAGTTTTGTTTCCATTATTTCTACTTTGTTTCTTCTCTATTTCTGGACTTTTTGCTCGAAAGTGAGGGGGGGGGGAATGACACTTTGATTCTAGGTTTTGATGATTAGAATGCTTTTGTTATTTTATAAATAGCTTGAAATGTTTTGAAATGTAAAGCAAATGTTGAGACTTCTTTTGTCATTTTACTGCACTGAAAAAAGTTGAAAGTCACTACTTTTTTCTACCTGCACTTGTCTCTTTCTTTCTCTTAGTTCTCTAACTTTTGTTTTTCCTGTATTTTTATTTTATAATGAAACTTAATAAAGTCATGGCAAAAAAAAAAAAAGAATGAGCATCCTGCATCAAATAGCTCTAGTGAATCAAAGCTAGAGAACCCTGTATTGGTTATGTTTATATGTCTCTTATTTATTATTTTTATTTACTTATTAAATTTATATGCCACCCTCTTCCTGTCCACTCTTCTTGCTTCATTTGCAATTATACTCTTTAAAATGACCAGGAGGGTGTCTCAAAATAGCTAATGAGAATATCTTGAGAATGGTGTGATCGTATGCTAAAGCCATCAAATGGACTATGTCTCTTCCCACTATTGGTGACGAATCTTGGTTCTCAGTGTACTCACACAAGAAAATATAAACTTTTCTGCAAAAAGAAGGGGAAAACAGCTGGGAAGTAAAGGGGGCTTCAATTGATTCTATCTCCTAATTTTTCTGTTAGGGGAATCACATTCTTCCCATAGAACAGCAAGGCATTAACTTCTCTTTAGAAGTCAGTGCAATCATTGAACTGATATTGTACAGTGATACACTGCCCTCTAGGTCAAAGTCCATCAAATAGCGCTATGCCTTTAAGAGGGGGGGAAGAGGGGGGAAAGGGAAGAGACCAGAGGTGGTATTCAGCTGGTTCTGACCAGTTCCGGAGAACCGGTAGCGGAAATTTTGAGTAGTTCAGAGAAGCGGCAAATACCAGCTCTGATTGGAGATTTTACAGTCTCCTTCCCCTGCCCCGCCCACCAATTTAGTGGGCGCCACATTTCAGCAGCTACAAAGGGCTCCAATTTCTCCATAATCTATTATTTTTGCTTTTTACCAAAAGAACTTTGACTCCAAAGTTAGAATCTCAACCTGCTTTTTCATGCAGTTCTTTATAGTAACAAGTAAATACATCTGGATTTAAAAAGAAACTGTAAATCCAACGGTATAGTTCCAGCTGTGATCTATTTCCTATGAGGATTCATAAGTGGGATGGTGAGTTGGGTTATTGGGGCTGTGCATGGACATTATACCATACTCTTACTCCTTGGTACTCAGTGTAGTTTTTGCAGTGAGAGAACTAGTATTTCTTTCTCTTAACTCACCTGGTTTTTCACATTTTCAATCTCAGCTTGCAGCCTCTGTATTGTACGGTTAATCTCTGCAATCTCATTCTTTGTGTTCCGCAGGTCATCTCCATGCTTTCCAGCAGTGGCTTGCAAGACCTCAAACTAAAATCAATAAAAGATGGGAAAAAAATATGCTGTTGAAAATATAAAGGGAGGTTGCTAGTCTTCCCTTCCTGCCTAGGCTCAGTTCCCTACCACATCCTGGAACTCTACATAAAGTTCAAGTTTCAGAATTGTTTTCTGTGTAAAGACAAAATAAATATTTACTCCAAGTAGCAACTGACCCCTTTCTAAGGCTAGAAGGACAAGTACAAAATGCCCATGTAAATTTCTTCAGGTGAATGGGAGTATGCATGTGCGAATTGAGGGAAAAGGTTAGGAGAGAGGGTGAGCTGAAAGAAGATAAATGACTATTAAGACAGTTTGTGGAAAACTAGGAAAAATTCAGAAGGTATAGCCACAAACAACATCAATCTCCATCAAATATGTCCAATGTTACATACACATTTGTCTGATTGCTTATTTGAGAAATTTCCTGAACAATTCATCCAATGGGCATTTCAAAATGAACAGTCATAACGAAGGAAAAGGCTAACTGATGGTGATATCATTACAGCTTCTACTCAAATATTAACAATGTTGGAGCTCGATGTCCCAAATATGTTATGAAGGCAATAAAAAGTGTCCATATTAATCATAAATTTGAGATTCATTTGCAGCAGCTATCCAACAAAGTCAATACCTGGAAGGGGCTTTCTTAAACATCTGCAATGTATCTGAAAACTATAATGCAGCATTAAGCCATTATAAATAATCTACTGGATATCACAAAGTGGGTTCCCTTTTAAATCCATCTTTTCTGCCATTGCTCACCTTGCTCTGGTACCAGCTTTCTGCCTCCATCCTGCTCTTATTAGCAATCTCCTCATACTGAGCTTTGACCTCAGCAATGATGCCGTCCAAGTCCAGGTTTCGATTGTTGTCCATTTGAAGGATAACAGATGTATCAGAGACCTGGGTCTGCAATTCAGCCAGTTCCTGACAGGAAAAAAACAACAACCAGATATTAGTTGCACATTACCCTTCCTGTGCTGTTCTGGTGAGGATGTATAGCAACATAACTGTTGAAGTCTAAAGAGAGGAATGAGGTAGCCTTTGAAACCAAGCTTCCTGCTACAATTAAATGTTCAATGTGTGATAACTAATACGGGCAATTTTTCATGGGATTAGGCTTAGTATTAATTGAATTACATGTATTTTGTATTATGTACAATGTACATGTACAATGAATTATAAGCATAAGCCATGGCTATATGCGGAAGACACATGGGTTCTGTTAAACAAAAAAAAATAATGAGAACAAATATTCCAATTAAGATCTGGCAATAGCACCAATGAACAAGTGGCAGCAACTTTCTCCTGTTCATGCAAGTTGACCAATTCCTAGCTCAGCTCATTATGCCATACGCATACAGAAAAACAATATTAACTCAATAAAATAGCCAGGTTTGTAAAACTCCCTTGATATACATCTACTGCACAAAGAATCACATGAGACAAGCAACTTGATATGTTTAGCAAAGGTTTCAGGTTTCCACTACAGAGCCATTTGCACATTAAATTGTGACAGGGTTGACAAATAGCCTAGAGACTATAAAGAAAAGGGAGTCGGAACAATACAAAGTAAATAGATTATTACATCAGTAGAATTTCAGTGCTTGTAATTTTAAACAGCTTTGTATTCAATGTCATGTCAACCTTGAATTTAATTTTTGAGACACCTTATATAGAGAAACTGGATTTTTTAATGGAATTTGGGAATATAGAACCAATTCTTGCTTAAGCAAAGTTCTCCTTGAAAATCACATTTTAGTTTAAAAGATGCAACCTACTCAGTCAAAGGATGGAGTTAAATCTAACCAAAAGATTGCTGTAAGTGTACTTTGCACATTGCACTAGACTAATATTTGCTTAATCATGGTTTGTTGAACAAGCTACAATGTCTGGGTCACACATCATATTAATCCATTGGAGGCTGGCAGCCAATAAATTTAAAAGATAAAAAATGTGAAAACTAAACAAACTACATTTTGACTTACAAAGTAATATCAACTCAGTTAAAAATAGGATTCTGGGCAGACTGGAATTCTGTTTGAATCTAATTTCTTCAGTAGTGAGAAAAGAAATTTCCAATGAAAAATTCAGCAAATCAATTCACCTACCTGCACAGTGATTATATTAGGGATCAAATAATTTGGGATCAATATTGGTGATAATACATGTTTGGCAACATTTAACAATGGAGAAGATAATACTTCTCTAGGCTCAAATGTAATGGAGAACCATAATTAGTTTTCTTTGATTACAATTGTTACATCTGCATATTTAAATTACTGCTAGAAGAAAATGACCTCTCTTAGTTTTCTTTGAATACATTTCTGAGAGAATTTTCCTCTTTTTTACGTTTCCTTTTTAGATACTGACAGGGCAACGTGAGATGCTAAAGCTGAATACTGTCATCACAGAATTGTTATTATTTGCTAAGTAATATCTTTTCTTTTAATGAATAATCTTTATTTCTGTTAATTCTTTCTCTCCCTTCATAAAACAACTCCTTTGCTCAATCTCTCCTCCCATGCCAACTTTTCCAACTTTTGAGAATGACAAACTAACAGGTCATCTATAAATATTTATATAAATTATTTACAAAGATCACTGAATTTGTCTTCTGTAAGGAGGTCAGTGTATGAGCTAAAGACAGTAATAGCACAAACATTCTTCCTTAGCCTTGTATCTTCCAGATATACAGTACATTTTGTTGACTGGTAGTTGTCAATCAGCATATATGAACGGTACCAGAGTGTGAAAAATGACACTAAAGTTTACTTACCGCTTCATAAAGCGCTCTCAGGAAATTTATTTCTTCTGTCAGCGCATCCACTTTGGCTTCCAGCTCCACCTTATTCATGTAGGAAGCATCAACATCCTAAAAGAAACCATTAGAAGAAAAGCAACTTATGGTTTTTGAGAAATGGAGAAGAAGGAAAGGACAAGATTGCTACCATGGGCAAAAAAAAGAAGTCTAATGGAGAATCTCATCTCTTTATTGCTAGATTTAATCATCCTTATCCCTACCCTAAAATGAAATTGTCTTTGCAGTGCGATGGCTCAGTGATTAAGACACTGAGCTTGTTGGCTGGAAACCAATCGCCCGGCCTTGAGAGTTGAGACCCGGACATTGTGTGACAGGATGAACTCCCGTTACTTGTCCCAGCTCCTGCCGACTTAGCAGTTCGAAAGCATGCAAATAAATGGGTACCACTATGGTGAGAAGGTAACAACACTCTGTGACATCTTGCTGACCACATGACAGACATAACTGGCTCAATGGCCCTGGAATCAGAGATAGATACTGCCCTCTATAATCAGCAATGACCAGCAGAGTAAAATCCGCAGGGACTACATGATACTAAATATGCAGCAGGCTACTGTGGCTTTTTAAACATTATTATTTAAAGGCACAATTATAATTGAGTCCCATGCATGTGGGAAGGAGAAGTTTATCTTTCCCTTTTGTAGGTTTAATTGCAATTACACTTGTCTTCTCCTACGGCACAGTCATTTTTGTCAAGCTTGGGAATAAGTTTTCTTTTCCTGTAATAAACTATTGAAGGGGAAGAAGGTAGCTGCAAGTATTCCATTTCAGATAACAGGTAGTCTGTCCCTAAATTTCTTTTCCATGATGTTGACTTAGTTGACCTTGGGTAGGTCACCTATCCTTGCTGTGTATCCTTTATCCTTTTCCTGTTCCTTCTCATCTGTTTGCTTTGTATACAAAGAAGAAAAACACCTGCCTGCATAATATAAAACCCTGCTTTTAGTGCTGTAACAATATAATAGGAGGGCTAGGTGTTACATTTATTATACCCCAATGTAATTCTTGCATTGGGACTATCCAACCGCTGAATGAATGAATGAATGAATGAACGAATGAAACCGATTTGCAAAAAAAAGGTATACTTCTGAGGAACTAGGTAATTGCAACAGTGTGTTTAAGTGACCTTAAAATGCATTTTTTTAACTTTCCCTATCATTCACATGCTTCATAAAAAGTTGAGTTAATGTTTGCAAGAATTTTCCTTTCAGAATGTTTATTAAATTCTGCTTTTATTCATTTTGGAGCATCTATATGGAATATCCACTTTATAATGATGATGACAAGTTGTACCAGTTAATATTTCCCATGAGAAAATAATCCCTGCACAGAAATAAAAACCTGACATTAAAAAATCTGTAACTCTTTCCCATAATACTTTATTTTTAAATGTAGTTTAAATATAGTTTTCTCTTTTCTTTGAAAATAAATAGATTATCCTTTCCCCATTGGTAGTTTGTGGTTATGCCATTGTTTTTTTGTGTGTATAGACAAGAACAGATGCCACCCAAAACTTTACATTTCCATAATTAATATTACATTTTGAAGACATTTGACATTTGGACATCATCACTAAAATAAAATTTTACATCCCTATGTAGTGCTAATACATTTAATAAGTAGACTTAAATTTCTACGTTGATCTATTCCAATCGTTTAAAGATATTGTTTCTAGGGTCATCCTGTATATAATGCTACAGAAATTGTACTACGGTAGTACAATCCTGTCACATCCGAAATCCTGCCATCTATAGCACAACATGCAAATTTAGGTTAATAGACTCTTACTTTCTTGAGCACGACAAAATCATTTTCTGCAGTGGTGCGCTTGTTGATTTCATCTTCATACCTATGATGAATGTGGAAGAGACAGATGTTTTAAATAGGCTCATCACAGAAAGTGAAAATTTGGAGTGTCCCTCCTTTTAAAACTAATGAAGTTTCTTCCCCTCACCCTGCTATTTTAGAAAATGAAAATCTATCTTTTAACAGAATTCTTCATGTTAGTTTGGGAAGTCAAATTGTGAGTATGGACATTCACATCTAGAACAATAAGCTTACATATGTCCTGCTTATTGTAAGATTAAGTTGTGTTGTACCAAAGGGGATTTATTCCCAAATATATATGATTACCACAAAGCAAGTTGCTTTATACTAAAGCTTGAGTCATGTAGCTTAGCATCACCTGATTGACAAGGGATGCCTGGAACTCAGGCAGTAGACAGACTAACTGTGGAACTATCAATATGTATGCTCCCATTTTTCCCAATAGACCTGCACTGCCAATAAAATATATTGATATGCTCTTTTCAGTTCCAATAGTTCATGATCTAGTAGATATTGGCTACTAAGGTAGTTAAAACCTACTGGCCTATTGAATATTTGCCAGCTTGTACAAAATAGGCATAAAATAAACTTATCAAACAGGATATGAATAGATACTTGGAATTTTCATTCTCAAAGGAATGCTTTAAATGACAGTATCTAGTTTCTGAAAACTATTTGTGCATTTGGAAAAGAGAATACAGAAAGCTGCATCCTTGCAAGCCAGACAGACTTTGGAATGCAGAAAGAATACTGAACAAATAAATAGCCTTGAAAATTCTTCCTTTATGAAAATTATATTCTCTACTCTGTTGAGGTAAGTTTAAAAGAAATGGCAGAAATCAGGGTGTGGTTGGCAATAACTCTGATTCCTTGTCCATCAGTTTTCAAACAAACAAACAAAAATAAATAAGAAATCACCTACTAAAAACACAAAAAATGGACACATATCTATTGTTAATTCTGACCAATTATCCTCCATTGAAATATATTTCAGCCTACAACAGCCAAGAGCATAACCATGGTTAACACAGTTATCATGGTTGACACTTAAAACAGCCCTGGAGATAGGAAGAGACCTCCATTTCAATAGCAATAGCACTTAGTCTTATATACTGCTTCAGAGTGCTTTACAGCCCTCTCTATGCGGTTTACACAGTCAGCAGATTGCCCACCAAAATCTGGATTATCATTTTACCAACCTCAGAAGGATGGAAAGCTGAGTCAACCTTGAGCCAGTGAGTTTTGAACTGCCAAATTACAGGCAGCTGGCAGACAGCAGAATACTGCATTTACCAATATTGTAGCAAAGCACAAAGGCAAAATTATAGGAATGTCTTTCCCTTCTCACTTCACTGTCTCTGCTTGTCACATGCCCTTCAAAAAAATAAGTTGGCCAGTTTATATATATATATATATATAGAGAGAGAGAGAGAGAGAGATGGCATATATAGAGAGATGGCATATATAGAGATTGTATATATAGAGAGATGGCAGCTCCGGTCACACACTGCTTGCACTGGCACTAAGCCGTAAGCACCAGCCTGAAGATGGCGAGTGGGACCTCGCCGAAACGTTGCCTAGATACTTTGAATCTTACGCGGGAGAAAACCCGAATAACCAAAGATCCATATATATATGGCAGATGAGATGGCAGATGAGATTCTGCTGAAACGTTGCTACAACTTTAAAAGAACTACAATGACGTGGGAAAATACCCGAACCAAGCCGAACACCATACATGTAAGTACC